TTCACTGATTCACCTCCACTTCCTCCGAGCGAGCGACGCCAAACTCGCTAGGCTGCCTTAACAAACAAAGAAATTTCACAAATAATCAAACAAGCTGTTCCCGAAATACACGAAGAAGGTGATGAAGTTCGGTTTGGAAGTTTGAACAGGTAAAGCTTGGTCTTTTTGACTTGAATTTATCGAGGAAACCGGTGAAAAAGTTTTTGTTTACAAATGCAAATTAAGCTTAACTCTCGCGTACTTCATTTAGTTGACTTCTTCATAAATAAGCTTAAAACTAAATTTAATAATCTTTTTTACAGAATGATTTAAATGCAAAAAGGATTCACAACTCCTTTTGAAGAAATTTCCCTGCAAGAGCTAAACAAATGCTGTCAAAAGTTTTATTTGTCAGCAAGAATGATAATAATAATAACTTTATTTCTATAGCGCTCTTATCCTATGTTCAAGGCGCTTTACAGTCATGTAAACAACATTATTGAAAAATATTTACAAATCTATAACCATATCCTATTATATTTACAATGAGTAAAAAAGGAAAAAATTAAAACTAAATTTTGATGATAAAAAAAGGGAAAATTAAAACTAACGCAACATATACAAATCTATAAAAACAATGACCCGTTATTACTGAATTTAGTAAACAAGTACGTCTTAAGTGATCTTTTAAAACTCGAGATGGTATTGGACTTCCAAATTCCATAGGGTATTAAGTTCCATTCTCTTGGTGCATAAACAGCGAATGCTCTAACTCCGTAGGTCTTGGTATACGATCTAGGTTGCATTAAAAGTTCATTACTAACAGACCTCAATGATCTAGTATGAGAACGATAATGTAGTTTCTGAGCTAAATAGCTAGGCGATGTCCCATTCAGTGATTTATACTCGAGGAGCAGAATCTTGAAAATAATACGATACTGAATCGGTAGCCAGTGAAGCTCACACAAAACAGGTGTGATATGCTGAAACTTACTCACTTGCAACGCCGTGTTTTGTACATACTGCAATCTTTGTAACTGATACTTAGGTAGGCCATATAGTAATGCATTACAGTAATCTAGTTTCGATGTGTCAAATGCATGAAGAGCAACTTCTGCTGATTCTTTAGTGAAATACTTCCTTATTCTTGATAGGTTCCTGAGATGATAAAATGATGATCTACAGATGCTAGACACATGTGCATGAAAAGACATGTGCTCAGCAAAGATAACACCAAGACTCCTAGCCGACTGAGAGGCAGCCACGCTCTCATCACCAACACATAAGGACTGAAAGGGTGGAGAGGGACGATGCTTTGAGTGGATGAGCATGACCTCCGTCTTGTCGTGGTTTAGCTTCAATTCGTTGAGATCCATCCAGCGACATATTGCAGAAATGCAGTTCTCGACCCTCGATTTAGCAGCGTCCACATCCACCGATTTGAATGCAAAGTATAACTGAGTATCGTCGGCGTATAGATGATAATCTAAACCATAAGATCTTATCACTTTAGCAAGTGGCGCAGTATACAGAAGGTAGAGAACAGGTCCTAGAACTGAACCTTGGGGAACACCCACGGGAAGATCTCGTACCGTAGAATTCGCTTCATTGATGTTTACAGACTGAGTTCTTTGAGAAAGATACGAATCGAACCATTGCAGTACAGTTCCTCTGATGCCAAATGATCTCTGCAGTCGTGCCAGCAGTAAGGAATGGTTAACGGTATCAAATGCTGCCGACAGATCCAATATCAGATCCAGATCCAGATCCTTATCCAATGACAGCATAATGTCATTTGTAACTGTGAGAAGTGCAGTCTCGGTGCTGTGAAAAATCTTGTTCGCTGATTGAAGAGGCTCATGTAGATCATTTTCCCCAAGATAGCTATTCAATTGCACAAACACTGTTTTCTCTATCAATTTAGATAGGAACTTTAAATTTGATACATGGCGAAAATTACTAAACTGCTCAAAGTTTGCATTTAATTTCTTAAGAATAGGTGATAGCAGCGCTACCTTAAGTTCCTTGGGCAGCAATCCAGATGGCAATGACAAATTAATCACCCTTCTAAATATAGGGACAAGACTAGAATAGCATTTCCGCATGATACTCGCTGGAAGTGGATCCAGTGCGCATGCCTTAATAGTTGAACCCCTAATCAACCCTAGGACGTCTTCATCTGTTACCATTGTGAACTCGGTAACGCATGACGTACACTCAAAATCCTCCATGTTGCGCTCCCCCAGCTGCTCTTTTCTAACCAGCAACTCATCACGAATTCGCACAATCCTGGCACTGAAGAAATCAGCAAAGGCATTTGCGAGTTCTTGGTCACTGTTCGCAGACGGATATTATTTGTCTATACTCCTTTGCAGTAATTTATCAACTGTGCGAAAAAGTAATTTACTATCATGGGCATTTTCATGAATAACTGCTGAATAATGCTGTTCTTTGGCCTTGTAGAGCATATCATTCACAACATTGCACTGTTCCATATAATTTACCTTGTCAATTTCGAGACCAGTCGAACGCCATTTACATTCAAGCCTTCGCCTTTTCCTCTTCTGGGTAGCGATCTCTTCATTATACCAAGGAGCATTAGGTCGAATGACAATAGTGCGAGTTCTTTTAGGTGCCAGCTTGTCCAAAGCCTTGCATAACACCTCATCATACTCCTTCGCCAATGACTCAACACTTTGCGAGATACACCCGTCTGACAAACCAGACGATCCAATCATCTCATTGAAAGCAGCAAAATCAAATCCCTTAAATTTACGAGAGACAACAGTCCTCCTCTCATTTAATGGTTTCCGTAAATTCATATTAAAGCAAACAGCCTTATGATCCGAGATAAACTGTTCCATGACTCTAGGCCTAAGGCACCCTCAGTCTCATTCCTTGTAATGACCAAGTCCAATATATGACCTCGTTTATGTGGGTACACACACATGTTGCTTTAAATTGAACAAATCCGGTAACTCTCCAAATCGTGTCGCGTCCCAATCAGCCTTGTCGTCCACATGGAAGTTAAAATCCCCGTATATCAAAAGCTCTTCTGGGCATACTACAGTCTCTTGCAATAGACCACAAAATTCCTCCAGAAAGACTCCAACTGACGCACACTCCGGGGGACGGTAGACAACGATTGCTCTCAAACTCTTACGAGCAACAAAAATGACATCAATGCATTCAAACGATGTAAAAGAATGCTCAAATAACCTTGTTTTAGAGCCAATACCTTGCTTGTAAAGAAGGCCCACGCCTCCGCCTCGCCCTGCCGACCGTCGGGAGTGCAGGAGACGATAATCATTCGGACGAAGCTCTCCAAAAGTCACTTCACTACCTTCCACATGCAGCTATGTTTCTGTAATCCCCAACAAATCCACCTTGTAATCCACAACAAAGTCTTTAACAATAAGAGTTTTGTTGCATAGTGAGCGAGCGTTCATAAGGCACGAGGTGAATTCCCTGTTGAACGACAATTTAGGAGCAACACTGATGCGATCCAAAGAACGAAGATTATGCAAATTAGCTCCCTTTGGAAGAGAATGTCTACTCCACAGGTGACCATTCTTGACCATTCTATTTGAAGAAACCATTGTTGTGATCCTATTATTAGGGCCTGGATTCAGTTTGAACACCAAGTCGCCTACATCTAAAATAAGACGGAAAGTCGCATTCTAGTTCGCATAGTAAGCAAACGGTCTTTTGTGTCGCCTAAACTTGATCTTTAGCTAACCGCGACGAGTGTTTGGGGAGCCCAGCAACGCAATGAAGCGTCCAAGAAAATAATTGTTAGAATAACAAGGCAGCCAATACAATAGATGGCAATCAGCATGCAAATGACCATGCAAATGATCAGCTAAACTTTCGTTTCGGAAAACCAGCGAAGCCAAGGGTGAATAATCTTGAAATTCCCTTACGTTTGTCCATTTCTCGCAACCAAAACCACTCCAGCGATAAGATCCTCCATTTAGACGTATTCTAGACTGTTCTATCGCGCAGAACAGTTGTACGTAAAGGAGGAAAAATAACGTAAACGCGGACCATAAAATATCGTGTCCAGCCGCATCACGCATCATTGACGACGTCAAGAAAAAGCGACGGCCACGGCCGTTCGGTCATTGCGGGCCAAAATTGTAATCGTTGGCAACAGCAAATGAGTTAAAAATCATCCTTTTTGTGCTCAATTATCTCACTGTTTTAGTATATACTAAAGCTTACTAAAACAATTATTCACCGAAGTGTCGGTGGCTCGTGGTGGATATTTACCTCGCTGCTTTTCGTCCCGGTAAACTCACCACTAGCCACCGACACTTCGGTGAATAATTGTTATTTATCAAAAAAAATTAACTAAGGAGGTTCTGAAATTCTTCAACGGACAAAATAAGAGACATATCAGGGAGGAGCTGATTCCAGTCTCTAGCCGTTCTTAGGAAAAAGGAAAAGTTGAAAACTTTCTTCTTACAGTAGGGTTCAAGAAGCTTAAATGTATGGCTGCTCTTTGTACGAGTTTTATTCCTAAAATAACAAATCGTCAATCTTAATATCAACTAAACCATGAATAATTTTATGCATGTCTGAGATAAAACGAGATCTTTTTCTACTTTCTTCGACGGTGCATAGATCCTATTTGTTTAGCAGGGAACTGACGCTTTAGGAGCAGTCATATCATTTGTACGCAAGCGAGCTGCTTTTTGCACTGCCCTCTAGTCTGACAATGCCGCATTTAAAATGTGGGTCCCAGGAAACAGCCGCGTACTCGAGCTTAGGCCAGAGCAAGATTACATAAGGTGTCTTTTTGATACTCTCCGTACAATACCGGAAATTTCTCCTAACTAAGCCTAACATCCTGTTGGGGGCATTACAGATTTGGTTTCTGTGATCCTTTCATCAAGTCTATTTTCTATGTCAACTCCTAAGTACGGGTGGTTTTCTTCGTTTTCAAGAAATTTGCCACTAGAAGTAAAATTTTTCGACTGGTGATTCCCGCTTAAGTGAGACGCGCATAGTATAACATTTCATGGGGTTAAATTCCACCTGCCACAAGGACTCTCATTTCTCAAGTCTGTATAAATCATCCTGGAGTCTTTTATTATCAAGTGAAGGATCCACTATCGACACATACATGTACAATAAACAGTCATCAGCAAATAATCAGGTGCTACAGTTGAGGTTGGATGGTCAGTCATTAGAAAAAGTAGGGGGCCCAAAACAGTGCCATGTGAAACAGCAGACGTGATCTTTGACCTTGTGGAGAAGTTTCCATCACTTACTAAAAGCTGATATCGCTAAGTAAGGAAACTCTTAATCCAGAGCGATATAGGGCCCCGGATACCATAAAACTGCCGTTACTAATATACAGATTTAGCCACGGCTAAAAGCGAAGCTCCCATTGATAAATTTATAACTAAAATGAAACAATAATTTTGTATTCCACGAATCAGTTAACTTAAGGGCACATTCATGCAACTTTTGAGGGAAAAGCTAAGTGATTTTAGAGTGAAACAAATCTTGTATCGAGTTGATACAGCCTTATGTGCACACCCAAAAAATAGTCTTCGGTCACATTTAAGAGCAATAATGGCTGTTGATTACAGTAGATAAGGCGTGGAAAACAAATTCTTGGAAAACAAGTCAGGCCGAATTTTTTGCGTTCGACAAGTTTACAAATTCTTGCTAATAAATCTGGGTGCGTCCAAACCAATCTTTTATTTTTTTATATATATATATACACCACATCTGAGGAGAAAGAGTACTATGAGGCGCTGCTTTTATCATACAGACCTCGTACAAAATGCAGTATTTCACAAGACAAATTGAATTCATTCAATATTCAGGACCATCGAAACACGCGTGGACTTTTAATTAGCGAAACCGTTCAAAAATTTCCAAAATCACCTATACGACCTACCGGTTCTAACTTTTGAGAAGCGCCAAATTTGCGAAGAAATTTTAAAGGAGTTACCCTTCAACGTGATAAAGAAATTATTGAGCCTATTTTTTATTAATGGTTTTATAACGATGTGTAATCTTAAAAAGCGTTTGATACGCTCGGCATTTTGAGTACTCCTGCAAGCGATGTTTATGAACGGCTGAAAACAAACGGCAAAGCGATGAAAATTACACTTTCGAGACTACCAACAATCAATAAAGAAATATAATTCGGTAGAACATTTACAGAGACAACAATTTTCATTCACGAAAACAAATGAGTTTTTTTTAAAGTGTCTCTAAGAATCCTCAAGTCTTTCCTAGTAAGACTAAAGATTAAGTTTATGTTTTAAGCCGCCGGTTTCCCGGTGTTAGCTGTTTTCAAAGATGAACTCACCACAAGAAAATCGCTCAAAGCTTTCTTTCTACAGCCAAAATTATAACTAAATATTTTTCGGAAAGTCTTTTCTTTTTATTTACGGTGAATTAATATCGACTAAAGGCTTTTTAAAGTTCTGTAAGCTTAAGCTTATATCAAACCTCATACTAGGTCAGATCAGTGTCTCAGTCAAATCTTAATACAAACGTGCATAAAACTAGCTTCATAAACTGCGCCGCTGGACTTCATGAAATTAGATATAAATACAATACTTACTCAGGCTTACCATATTTCGAGATGCAGCTCCCGAAAGCTATCAAGTAAGGCAAGGATCGCTTGAGCCTTTATAATTCTCGCACGCATCCAGAAAGGTAAAAAACAAAAACGATGCGGCTTTGACAAGCGACGCATCTCTCAACCAAAAACCCAATAAACAAATCAGCCACGAATAAGTGAACACTCTTGATAGCAGCTGTATTTCATTTTGTACATCCAGTGGAAAAAGACAGTTAAAAACATCACAAGTTGACTCCAACTCTGTCAGCTTCAGCTGTCAAAGTAAACAACTTTCAAGATGCTGCATAAATTTTACGCATGAACTCACCTGTCAAATTTTAACCAATCAGAACATAAAAATTGGACGTTGCGCATGACCAACACGTGACCATGGTAAGAAAAGGTCTTCCCCGCCTGTATTTTAAAAAAACTGGCTGAATTTTTGCGTCTGAGGTCAGTTTGAAATCAAAATCGTAATGTTGCGGGACGATTCTGACATAAACACAACATATTTGATATGAATTTAAAAAAGTAAACGTGAGCCTGCGATCATTTGAAAACGAGTAAATTGTCAGCGGATAACTTCAAAAAATACTCGACCTTGATGGGTCGACACCTGAGCCCGCGATACGGTCAGGTGACACTGGTCAGCGGATACTATGTTTTAACAGCTGTCAATTGATGAGAACATTGATGTGCAATCAGCTTTCTTCTGGGTTCCCAACGTAGCTAGAAAGTGTGACAGTAAAGATTGGTATGCCTGTGCTGCGGACGGACGGTCGCTCGGTCGCTCGGTCACGTGATTACCAAATTTTCTGGGATGGGTAGATTTATTTACCCATGGTGCTCCGCAGGCGCGCTTCGCGCGCGGAGCTCCGCTATAAAAGGCGCAGGTGTGGAACTTTATCAAAAGTTTTAGAGAAATCAAGAATGACCAATGATACAGATGTATTCGCATCCAGGGCCCTTGCTATATCATGAAAAGTATAGACGAGATACGTTTCCGTTGAGCGTCTAGACCTAGAAAACCATGTTGCGAGTATGCTAGGATGTCATGCCTTTCGAGATGTTTCATAATATGACTATGAGGAATGTGTTCCATGATTTTACATATTATATACAGTACACAGTCAGTGAGATAGGTCCATAGTTTTCCGGGTTGGATCTTCTTGCTTTCTTGAATACACCGCAGATGTTAGCTTCTTTCGATTGACTAGGTAGAGTCTTGGTTCCCAATAAAGGCTTTCCGCTTCTGTAACCTTTTCCTTTCAGGGCGTAAACCAGTAGATCGAAGAGTACCATGTCTTGAGCACTTATACCAGCAGTTACTTCACTTTCGTAGCGACAGAGTCATCATTGGCAAATACCAGATCTAAGATATTTTGCATTCTGGTTGGTAAAATTACTAGCTGTTTAAGGCCAAATTGTTGTTGAACATCTAAGAGACATTTCGCAGCAGAATAAGTTTGAGGGCCTTCGGTGGCACAGTTATCCTTTCATTTAATATTTGGTACAATGAAACCTCCGGCCAGTATAACATCATTGCTAGTAAGCTTTGGGCAAACGTAAACCACCGTCAACTCATCGATCTGAGAGGGCAAACCACCATAAACTCAGCGATCTCATTCGAATCTCCTTACACTTCAATCAAGATGGACATTCAATCAACAACTTTATTCTAATCCCACTTGAACTCATACGCAGCAACCGTGGCGCAGAAAGGGAACACATTATCTCCTCTAGGAATAAACAGACATGGCGAAGCTCGTTGATATACGATGCTACCTAGACTCCTACACCAATAAGAATCTATTCTTTATATTTTGATATTTTCAAACTCTTATTTGTAACGAACTTTTAGTTTTATCTTCAGTTTTCCTTTAGCCCCTGAAGAAGGTTTGTGTTCAAACCGGAATATTGGACAAATTTTGCAATTGTTCAAATACATATTTTTGGTTTTATTCTTTTGTTTACCTCTTCATCGCCTTCCCGTAAGGATCAGTTTGCCGTTTTATAATATCCTGCGTGGCAAGCGTTTCAAGCGGGAGGGAAAGGGTAGCGTGCTTGGTCAGTGTTTCAAGTGGGAGGGAAAGGGTAGTGTGCTTGGTAAGTGTTTCAAGCGGGAGGGAAAGGGTAGTGTGCTTGGTAAGTGTTTCAAGCGGGAGGGAAAGGGTAGCGTGCTTGGCATGTGTTTCAAGCGGAAGGGAAAGGGTATCGTGCTTGGCAGGCGTTTCAAGTGGGAGGGAAAGGGCATCGTGCTTGGCAGGCGTTTCAAGCGAGAGGGAAAGGGTAGCGTGGTGGCAGGCGTTTTAAGCGGGAGGGAAAGAGTATTCTGCGCGGCAGGGTAAGGGTAACGTGCTTGGCAGGTGTTTCAAGCGGGAGGGAAAAGCTATCTTGCGTGGCAGGCGTTTCAACCGGGAAGGAAAGGGTAGCGTGCTTGGCAGGCGTTTTAAGGGGGAGGGAAAGAGTATCCTGCTTGACGGGCGTTTGAAAATACAATGGGTAGAGTGGGGCGAGTGGGCTGACTTGTAAAGGGGAGGGGTAAATAACGTATGTTTTAAGCGTTTGACCTGAGAGCGAGAGGGTATCGTGCGTGGCAAGGGCGGCGTGCGTGGCAAGCATTTGAAGGGGAAGGACGAGGTTAGCGTGCTTGGTGGGGTCTTGGACGCGAGAGTAGAATGCACAGTTGGCGTTTGAAGGTGATGGGAGGAGTCAGTGTTTGTGATTATATTCTAAAAGTTTAAAAGAGGAGAGGTTAGTGTGATAGTGTGAAGGTAGGTGATAAGAAGCATATGAACTGGAAAGTAGCTTGCTAGGCAATTGCAAGCGTTTGACCTGGAAGTGAGAGCATAGCGAGTGTTGTTGGTTTTTGAAGGGAAAGGAGAAGCTAGCTTGCCAGGCAAGCGTTAACTTTGAAAGGGAGGGGATTAGAAAGCGTGCGTGGTAGACATTTGTAGGGGAAGGGGAAAAAGCTAGTGTGGTGGGCGTTTGAAGGGGGTCGGAGTAACGTGGTTAGCGCTTGAACAGGGAGGCAAAAGAAAATTGAGGCGAGCAAAGAATGAGAGAAGAAAATATACAGGGTGCTTGACTGACTTATTAAAACCTAACCACGTTGCCTGTAGTTTCGTTTAAGCCTGGTGAATAAGACTTATTACTTCTTTAAGTGGCGATCTTTTAAGAAAATGGGGATGAGGAAAGTCAACGTCACTTTAATTCCTCTCCTTTTCCCTTGCCGCTTTTACTGATTATTTTTTTTATCTCCTTTCTTGTTTTCACAGGGAATTAAGTTTCCTTCGTCACGCTCCTGATGATTACTCAAGTGACATTTTATAGGCCCCTGATCACAACTATCGTACAGACAGCTAGAGACAGTATGAAACGTCCATTGCGCTTTTAGGGACTACACTGAGTATGTTTTCTTCAACTAAAAGATTGTGGTTTAGATAATATGATCTCTGCTCGGGATTTGCTCGGGAAGTGGCCCAAAAAAGCAAAACAGTTCAGTGCCACTCGGTCTTTCACCAAAACACTTAACAAACCTGTGAATTCTACCAGAATAATTCATCCCGAGCTCTCATCGGTGGCGAGGTTGAAGGACCCCATTGAGGAACCCTGTGTATGCATTCAAACCTCTTCGCAGAAGTCCGCTTAGATACCTCCTATCTACTTAGGCCTGTGTTGAGATGACCTACACCAAAGCAGTGATTAAAATCAGTCTTTCACAACCACTAAAAAATGAACTTATTCTCTACTTCAAAATCAAACCTTGAGCCCATGAGTAAATGAATGGTAGCAGGAGCCCATCAAAGTAAACAACTCCTGATGGTAGAGATGTTTATAAACTATTCAACGAAACACTTTCAAAAAATACGTGTTCTGTTGAAGGAGAGAACTTGAACCGGTAAAGCGAATAAGAATAGGCAGGAGCAAGGGATAATAGAGGTAGGTCAGAAAATTAGTGGACGAGGCTATTATTGAAGGTAAGTATAGTAAACGGATGAACCGAGGGATGCTTTTGTGGAACGCACTGAGGGAAAAGTCAAGCTACGTGCAAACGGACGCAACAACTCCCAAGATTGTTGGCCCTAGAATGCTGGGAGTTGTTGCGTCCGTGTTGGCTGCAGTGGTGTCAAACCTGCTGCAACAACTCCAAACAACACGCAACAACATACAACAACAGGGTGTGCAATTGGATTCAGTATGTAACATCCACCGATGTTGGGGGTTGTTGGTTGTAAACACACACTTTCTAATTGTTTAAAGAGACTGAAAACGCTCTATAGACTTCTCACATTCTATACTTAAGCTTATGTCAATCCCGAAATTTCTCGCTTTCGAGTAGGTTAAGAAATCTCCGATAACCCATTGTGTTCGGCTGCGCACGGAGAGCTCAAGAAAAGCAGATGGCGTTGATGGGAGATGCCATCCACTCGTCCTTTAATCTAGAAAATGAAGTATTTTTAGCAGTAGAATATTAAATGAGAAGAAATCATCTTTATTGCATCTCGTTTCTTATGTTGTTAATGTTACAATTCTCAGTGGTAACAATTTATCTTTTAAATGGTTTTGGATCACGGCCAGTCGTTTATTTATCACTAATGTTTGGGGGGTCCATAGAAGCCAGCATTTAAGAATTTTGGATGTGTCTGTGAGTTTTTAACAGTGTCGTACTTGTCGTTGACAGCTTTGCGCCGGATGTTTCTCGCTTTATGGGGGACGTTTTCCATTTCTTCCAAAGTACTTGGACGTGCATCTCTAACAGGTATCTGGTTCCTTCCGTTTGAATTGACAACGACACCATAAGCGGACGAAAGAAGCATTTCTTCAAGTAGGAACACAACCAGCAAGGCACTTTTAAGCTTTTCCATATTGACTCTACGAAACAAAAGCACATGTATACAGTGTTGCGGATAGTTTTACTCTTTGCTCAAATATTATTAACCTTTCATGTTTAGGTATATTAATGTTAATAAAAATAAGTTTGAAATTGAAACGAGGGTAAAATTGAACCAATGACGCTTTACGCAATAACGTTACTATGGCAACACGGACGTCAAAACGTTTTTTTTTTTTTCTTATCTTAAGCTGTCAAAATTGGTTTGCGATAAGTTCATTAATGGCGAAATTGTTATTGCTCTACTGAAACCAAACCTGCTTCCCCGCCGTGAGAGTAAGGCTGTCCAGAAGGAATATGGCTTAGATACGGGGGCTAATCCTCCATGCAGTGAATTTGAACAGGTAACAGAAACAATGACAAACTTTAAACTTTATATCAGCGCCGGAGACATGTCACCTCACAGATCTAATGCTCAGGGAAAGCCAGACGAATGCTGCACGACTGAGGACTAGATTAGACTAGATTAGACTCTTCTTTCCCGAAAGTCGGTGCCTATCTTTGATATGTTGTAGAGTCTAAATGGTCTCATTTAAGTAACCGATTGAAACGGATTACAACCACATAGAACCTAGACTGAACAAAACAACCCCTTTGGTCTAGCTCATAATAATCTGCCCATCCGAACATACACCTCAACTTTTTTTCTCTAAGAACTAGTCAATAACATAAAATAAAACATAACGGCTTAAGGAGCTCCCAACGGGCCACCCTGACTTTAGTTTTTATTAATGAATGCGTCACACTGAACGAGCTGATACGTACGTTGTTAGCGCGATTACTGTGTTTGAAATTGTTGGTAAAGTGTTACTCCCAACGAGGTAATACGTTTCGACCATGAGTCTAATTAGAGTTTTCAGTAGAGTTTCTCCATCCTCTCTATTGTTTTAAAACAGTTCGTACACCTCGTTGTCTTTTAAGTACCCCTGTGACTTCCTTTCTTTACTGGTCTTTCTTGGGTTTTGTTGTCCTAAGGAGCGGCTTGCATACTACGCAACTACACGCTCCTGTCCGATGTCTCCTGTCCTGCTCTTTTCTGGGTTTTATTAAGGGTTAGTCCCTTGTTAAGGATACTCTCAATAGTATTCCGCAACCCGCTGACATACTGTTCAACTGTACGACTGCGGATGATTTTGTCATCGTGGAGGTCGTCAGTATGCACTTTCGCACACGCTCAGTGCTTGTTAAATGGTGTGTCTATAAAGCCTAGGGGCAGAGCTGTTTCCGAACATTAAACGCGTATACCCATACTACCCCTTGCGAGTTAACACCTGCTACTTAGCTTAAGTCTCGGAAGGTTTCACCTATAGAAGGTTACTCAAACAGGTGAACTGCGATATCGACCCAAGACAATATGCTAGGGAAGGGCACTCAACTAAACAAGCACTGATTTATTTACTACATGTAA